TGGGGGGGAGCCCCGTTGTTCCTGGCGCACCTCTGCTGGAGAGGCTTTTACTGCTTTCTTCACGTAAAAATCTACTGCAGCAAACGGGCTGACCGAGAACGGAGGCCGGCTTACGTGTTCATGTGTTCTGAATATTGCCCTGCTGGCCTGTGTCTTCGACATAGGTGACCTGGAGTCGCCTCTCGCAGCCATCGCTTCTTGTACGAGGCTGTCTTGCTTTTGGGGGATAAAAATGGAAGATGTTCCCAGCTTGCAGAAACTCCATGAGATAACTGGAAAGTAAACACTGATTTCCACCCTAAACCAGTAAGAACAATCTGGTTTCCAAAACATTAACTTTTCCAACGTTCATTTTACAGACAGCCCAAGCAGTGTATTACTGCTAACCCACAGCAGTAACTTTGCGCTGAGGGTACACACGTACGTACCTGAGAAAGAAAGGATGCAGAATACATCTGACAGCTTGCTTGATGCAAAACTACCAGGGTTTTCTAAAGCATGTGATTTCGTTAATAACATACCTGCCTTGCTGATTTAAGGACTGTGGTGGATGGTTCGTATCTCTTTATTACACAAAGTGTTCGGACTCGAGGATCGCAGAGGTAGCACGTACCCGCAGAAGCGCTACAGGGCAGATATATTTTCTGAGAATTGTTATTGACTTCTGCTTCTTTCTCCCATCACATTTAGTCCCAAGTCGTGCTGGATTGACTGGATGTAGCAGTGGTTGGCGCGGGTGCAGCTGGGAAATTTGGAGCCCTGCAGAGCGTTCTGCCAGCCTGCAGTGGGGGGTCTGGTTTGGCTTGGTTTTTAACCACACCTTTTTTCAGCTATAACAGCTCTGTTGCGTGTGTGTATCTGCTAGTGATGATCGTCATTAAACGTGACATAAGAGAAAAATCCTCTTGCTCCCAACTGCTTTTAAGTAGGAGGTTTGAAACTCTGTTTGAAGCCATGCTTTAGCCTAGTAATGGAGGCACTTCAAATGCTGGATCAATGCATCCTGGGCGAGTGCAAGCCTCTCTGATTCAATTGCTCGGTTTCCCTGCCTTAATAGGTGGTATCTTTACTGTACTGCCACCACCAACACAAATGTAGCCATGTACAATTTTATCCTTCATGTCATTTGTGTCAATAGGGAATAGAAGCTGTCAGTTCTCTCTGGCCCAGATCTTCAGATGCATTTAGGTGCTTAAATGCCATTAAAATCAGTGCTGCTGCTGTAAAAGAGTTGTTTATTGTGAAAGAAAAATAAACTGCCCACTGGCACATACAGAGCACATTGCAGGGTGGGCAGGTTGTATCCTATGGGTCTGATTGCCCAAACTGAGCAGGGCTACCTTAGGCTGTCTGTGCCTGTTCCTTCTTCGTACTGGCTGCCCACCGATGCTGTGGAGCAAGCCTGTTGCACGTACAGCAGGTACTGAACTGCACACTTTACAGCCTTCTGTACCCAAAGTAAAAGCAGGGATAGTTTACCTAAGTACACCGCGTTGCTTCGCAAGCAACTGAGTTATCCTTGCAGTGGGAGCAGGGCAAGAACCTGGAGTCCAAAGCAGCCATAGGCACCACAGTAAGCTACCAGCGTTTGTCATTCAGCCCTGGTTAATTGCTATTCTATTGATCTTGGCCTGAATCTGTGGGACTTGGATGCATGCAGTTATGATCTGTGCATAGGACACACTGGGAAAGCTTTACCATGGTAACTTCAGACCGTGTAGTTTACTGTAATAGATTTCTGTTGATAATATTCTGTTAGAGTATGGCATTGCCTGGAGGCTCTTGTGACCCTTTGGGTTGGAGCTTGTCTCATTATGGTATTCTGGTAGATTAGCTTGATGAAGTGTTACAGTAATTACAGTTAGGTTTTTTTCAATGTCTTCGTGCTCTAAAAGGGGAGCTCAGTAGCATTTCAGTTGCAAAAATAACAAAGGACAAGAACAAATCGAGAGGAAGGCGATGTTAGCCAGAAAGAAATGAATCCTGGAAAAATTAAAACACTTTTAAAATTATAGTGATGGAGATTTAAAGGAATGAAAATTAATACTGGGTGAATATGAACAGTCAGAGAAATAAGATGAGAAAAGCAGATTCTTATTTTGGAGTGGCTATGGTGTGAGGTACAGTGGTAAATCCAATGTGGCTACTTCCACAAGTCCCAATCACTCAACCTAAATTTTGTGAACTTCTGGTTTGGGAGAAATAAGTGACAAGATTGCTGGGGGAGTCGTGTAGCTGCTCTTTTGTCACTAGCAGATTTTTAGGAACCAGCATCTGCAATTCACCACATCTTGGAGACTAACCTGAGAATACAATCTGTATTATTGAGCATTTAAGTACCAGAGAGGTGATAGAGGCAAGTCATGAGGAGTGAAATGTATTCAAAGGCTGAGCAGTTCTCTATATTCTGAGAAAATGGACTACTTTGTATACCAAGTGGCCAAATAATTCAAGGAGAATCTTTTCATAAGACAGTTACATACATAGTGGCTGCAGCCATACAATTAGGCTACATCAGAAAGCAGTTAGTGGAATGAAAACCTGAAAAATAATTTGAAAAGTAGTCGAGGTAGGGAGGCTGCCATCTTTTCCTTCATTAAAAAAATCCCTTGCAGTGCTGTGTTTGGATGCATTGACCAACATTAGTAGTATTTTTTGGTCTATCTAGTGCACAGGGAAGAGCATCTGCAGCCGGAGGTTTCGTTCCCGCACAGTCTGTGTCCGCACCAGTGGCTCTGTGTGTTTGTTAGGGAAGTAAAAGCAATGATACGGGGCTGCTTTGGGGGAAGGAAGGTGGTGAACGTTTTCTGATGGTTATTTCTTCCTGACAGGAACTTTCCCACACAGAAAACTTAATTTAGGAAGTTTTTCTCATAGCAGGGGAGCAAAAATACTGGGTATTCTTTTCATTGCAGGCAGTTATGGACAATTTTAGTTAACTTGCTTTAATTGAGAAGTCTGAACTCAGACTGTGAGCTCGACTCCATAGTCTGTAGTAAGATGTTTTGAGAGCAGATGGATTGATTTGACACGTTTACAACCTCTTACAACTTTTCAGATTAAAATTCTATTTCTGGACTGACAAGTTCATCATAAAGTTCATTAATTTTAATTATTCGTTCCTGAATATGTAAAATTCTCATTCATTTTCAGATTGTATTTTTCCAAATTTTTCAACTAATACTGAAATAATTTTCACAATGGAGACATGAATGTATCCAGGCTGCTGTCAAAGATACTTCCAGTGAATCTGCATGATCTCAGTGTTATATTCTATCTGTTTTCTCTCGGAATTTCAGAAGGATGATTCCCAGAGACTTCTGGAAGGCTTCAAATCTGATGACAAAGAGCACACACTCATGAAGAGTAAAGCAGAACCCTATACATCAAAAGAGGAAATGGTGCTGGAGGTAAAGCTCTGCTCTTGGTGGATGTCCATTTTGCTGGGTGTAGCAGTGAGCACATTCAGGGCCTTCTCCAAACTGTCTTAATTTTATGGAGTTTGGAATTGAGCCCTTAAAAAGTGTTCAGAAAACGTGTAAGAAGGAGAGTGGGAGTTGACGGCTGTTTATGAATGCAACCATTTCAGGCACTCATTCCCCTTATGAATTCCATTTCTCTTGGTGGACTCTTTTTGGATATTTTAATCAAGACCCTGAGTTCTTTTTGGACAGGGACTTCTTTTGTTTTGTCTCTACATTGTTCTTAATTTCAAAAGGCTGATGGGAAAAGTTAACACAATTGACATAAGAAAAAGTTCTTAAGTACTGAAATCAGCGCTGATAGCTGATAATGGATTCTTTTCTGGAGAAGGAGATTTATTAGAGAAATTTTGACAGTAACAAAGTTCCCTCATCAGGTGCAGTCTGGAACAAATACTTTTTTTCTAGAGGTTGTGAGTTTTTTTAACTGTAAGGTTTTTTAAATGTGCAGTTCAGCTAACTCATTCAGTCTGTTATACATAAATTAAATACATGCAAAAAGTGTCGGTTAAAGCCAGCCAGTCTGGTGCTTAGCTTGTAACAAGAACTGGTTTCAAGACAAAGAGAAGATGGACATTATTGTAAACACTTTAGGTTGGTTTAAATCCTGACAGGTAATTAATCTTCATTTCAGTATTGTGATCAGGAATGGTGACAAACCATGGTTGGTCATTTTGCTTGAGTTAAAAGTACAGCATAACAAGTGAACATGGATTAGATTCTCTTTCAGAGTGTAAATCCTGTGGGAGAACTTAGGTAATAATATAACTTTATACATATTACCAGCCCTTTTTGAAATGGGATCACCGTCTTTTAAAGGTCATCATTCACACCTATATCAATTTCCCAAACACATTAGCTCATTTATTACACATTAAGAAGTAACCTTGTTATTTGAAGGGACTTTCTTCCATCTGTTTGTCTGACTACTGAAGTTATATATTTTTTTTCTGCTCATTTGTTCCAATTCCCAGAGGCTTTTGCTGTCACTGGCATCAAATGGACAGTTTACGGAGAAGCGTAGATGGAAAATGCTTTTAGTTAGGTTAGAGCACTTCAGAAAAACAGCTATTTTCATTCTGAGACCATCCACATTGCAATAATACCATAATTACCATATTAATAATAACTGTGTATTACTCACGCCTGCTGAGAAGCAGGATGTGTTAGTTCTAGCACACTGCGATATGGCTTTGCGGCTTTGGACTGGAGCTACTCTGCCTCTCTTGGCTTCTGTCCCTGAATATGTACTACAGCAGTGGGACTGCTCAGTATGAGCAAGTGTTTTACATGCTGACCGCGTGCTTTTAACTTTATCAGTAAATCCAAAAATGACTTCTGGAAATAAATGAAATGGAGATGAAAAGGTGCAATGATAAAAGAGTCTAATGAATGACAGTTTGCTCTTCTCTTCCCGTCTCTATTTTTAGACTGTATTAGTGCTTTGATATTTCCTAGAAAAATCTATATAAAGACAATGGTGTTTTGACAAATCTGATTCTTTCATTTCATATGACAAAACCAAAAAAAGTTAGAATAGGAAATCTCCTAAAGCTTGGTTTTAAACATCCTATGTCTTGCTTATAGCCAGCCTTTTATTAAGCCATACATACCCTCAGAAAACAAAGCTGATTATCCCATTGTTCCAGTGCATAAAGCAGTGGCTAAGAAAGAGGAGGTGCAGAAAGTCAGATTACGTGATATAGCAGATTGTATGAAAAGAATGCATTATATATAAAAAGTTATTTGGAAGAACATTGGTATTTTCTCTAGATTATAGGTAACGGCTGTACTATAAAAGTTTTTCCTGGAAAAAATGATGACTAGTTTTGTTTAATGTATTGTTTCTTTATTTAAATTGAAAGTCAGAATTTGTAGCCATGATGATATCATTAAGATAATTTCAGTCTTTCATGTGAAATCTTTAGTTGCTACTAGAAGGGGGGAAGAAGCCCAAAATGAAAATAACTTGTGAATACCAGCTATTACCTATTTTCCCTTGCAGCAGTAAAAACATTTTGGAGCAGCGCTAATGACAGTTCTTTTTTCTGGGTTTCATACTCTGAATCAGAGTCTTATGAGAAGACTTCTTGTGCCAGAGCAGAAACAGTCAATAAATAGTTAGTTATCGATAGGAATTTCTAAGTTGTGTAACCGAAAGGGGCATGTGATGCTTACTGTGAACAACCGTCAGGTCTACTGCTGTTCCCAAATGGTTTTCTGTTCTTTTCCATACAGGAAAGTGAGTCTCCTCTGAACAGTAACGTCACAGCATTTGCATTAAAGGCAAAAGTGATCTATCCCATCAATCAGAAATTCAGGGTAAGGTCAATCATTCTGTGTCAGAGTAAATTGCAGAGTCAAGTAATGGAAGAAAACTTACTGCCAATCTGCTTAACAGGGATCTTTCTTTGCTTATAGTCCATTGACTCAGGGCTTATTCTGTAAGGCATCAGCTACTTTCAGCTCCCCCTGAAATCTGCAGTGCTTTACATGGTGTCCACTCAATTTTCACTGTAGTCAAGAGAACTTCTATTCCTGTTAATGTTAATGGAAGTTGGGTCTGTCCAAGGAAACATCAGAAAAACCCCACAAGGATCTGCCCTTCAAGTAAGAAAACATGCACGAAGCAGATAACCACAACAGAAGAATGCTTTTCTGGGTAACGCAGAAACCTGTCAGTATGATGAATCTTAATTTATGTGGAAACACTTTTGCTGTGTATACTGTTTAATTTTTTCACTTGAACGCAAACACTGCAAATTGATGAGATGTTTATCTCCTTATTGTGTTGTATTAATTGACCTTGTAAATTTTCTTTGACTGTAGCCTTTGGCAGATGGCTCATCCAATCCATCTTTGCATGAGAATCCAAAGCAGTCAGTTCTGCCTAATCAGGTCATGGAGACATCTACGTCAGGCAGCCTGGGGTCCCTGAGCCAGGGAGACAAAGAGGACTGCAGTTCCTCTACAACAATACATTCCACAACAAGCGATGACAGATTTCAGGCTCGAGCCTTCCTCAAGGTGATCAGCTTCCCTGAAGTGCTAACGTGTGAGAGGTAAGCAGTAGACCTGCCCTCGTGTTTGGTCATTTCCTAGTGTGCCCCAGTGGTTATCAGGACAATCACTAAAGGTCTGGTGTAAACCAAAGGCTGGGCTTGAATGCATACATTCACCACATCAAGACAGGGTTATCTGCTCACAACCCTAAAAAACTGGTTGGGGACATTAAAGTAATACATCGTGCTGTATATTGAAAGTCAGTTTGTTCTTTATGCAATTCTGGGAAGCAGAACTTTGGCAAAAGCAGTCTTATAAAAGGATAAGGAGATCCTTTTGTTTTAGCTTATACACTCGGTTCACACGTGCAGTGGCATGCTTGGCTGGCGATGGAGTCCTCTGCACTGTACAATGTCAAGTGACACAACAGGTGCCTTGAGAACAGCAAGTGGCAGTGGTCTGTTCTCTCTGTTTTAATGGGAACTACTCATATCCTATTGTGGGAGAACTGTTCCTTTCTCAGACACTCCAGTGATGAGCAGGTAGAGCTAAGCAAAGTGGCTTATCAGCTCTGGTTTTCTTTCAGCTGCGCAACAGTGAGATACCCCTAGATGAATACATATGTGTCTGTATTCTCATTAGCAAGAATAAAGAAAATTATATTTGTGTCACCATGGGGACTGGGGAAGGTACTAGCAATAAAGAATATTTTGAAAATGCCTACTCTTACTATAGCTGTTTTAATTTAAAGCTTTGTTTTCCTTTTGTTCTAGACACTTGTGCCTGTATTTACCTTGCCTTTTTCTAAAGGGAACTGCAACTCCAACTTTGTTAAAGCACTTACTTTGTTTTGCTTGCTTTTATGTAGAGATATTTTATCTGAAAGAGAAGGCAATTTAGAAATGAAGTGAGTTGACTGCTGTTCTAGGGCCAATGCTTTTAGGAGAATTTAGTGATTAAATGAAACTATTATATGGTGTTGCTCTTTTATGTGACCTTCATTTAGATTAATATTAACACTTTTAAAATCTTTGTTTTAGTTTTGATGTTAAGCTCTGCCTTTGCAGTCTCATTTTGAAAGATCTCATGCTTCTTGATACTGAACTCAGAAAAGAAAAACATGTGGTAGGTACTCTTGTCTCATTTATAGCTATTTCTTTTGAACATCTTAGTTGAATATCAGTTTAGGAAATAACATAAACTACTGACTAGCTGGGAAGTAGTGTAGCAGAGTTGCATCTCTACAGCATTCTCTTTATTTTTTCTCTCTGTTCTGCATATATTTGAGCATCACAAAGGAGTAAAATATAAAGAAATGTATTGGGCTTTGAAATACAGGAGGTCAGACTGGATAATATAAAAAAATTGGTTTTAAACTTTCCTTCAGAGAATAACATACAGCACTCGAGGGTCATAAAAATAGAAAAAATATATTTAATAGATGAGTTTATGTTTTAGGGACAATGCTTGTGCATTGCAACTCCAAGAACTCCAAGCTCTTTGAATAAAATTGAAAATTCAGTTCAGCTGAATCAGTACCATTGTCATATGGACAATAGTCCTGATTTTGCATGACAGAGGAACTAAGGTACCCATTTAAACCATAGGTAGCTAACTACATCAAGTCACAGCATCCAAAGCTGACAGGAATAAAAACCAAAACAAAAATGGATGTATACAGTTGTTTATGGTGACTAGTTACGATGAAGTACAGAATGATTACCGAGTTTTAGCTTAGCTAATATAAATCTGGGCATACAGTATATAGCTTTCTCCTCCCCTTCTTTCCCAACCTCTGTTTAAACAGATTGGTCATTTCTGATATAAATTGTTCAATGCAGTGAGAATATTTCTGTTCTGGGATTTTCTGAACAAATTTCTACACAATCCAGAAGAGGAAGCATGAAAGTAGACCTGGAAAGCAGCTTCTCTTCTGATGGGATTTATTCCCATCTAGAATAGGGATGTAGGAAAAGTAGATGAGGAAGGGAACTTGAGATCAGAAGGAAATTTAGCTTGACTAGAGAAGGTTGAACTTTATCTCATTTGTAAATGAAGATAAGTTAACAACATGGTGATGGACTCACAGAAACACTGAGGAAATGAGCATTTAAAGTACTTTGTGGCCCACAAGAAATGGCCATAAAAGGCAGATGACTTTGACCTTTAGCTGACACTTTGAATAGCTGTGTATTTTCACTAGCAGGGGAAAAGGGCAAAAAATTTCAGTTTAGAGAATAGTTTCTTCCTTTTCCACTCTGCTTTCTCTCATTTCAGTCAGTCTTTCTTAGCGTCAGTTCTAGGAAGAGGAACCGTATCCTCTTCCTTCGGTGTTTTCCTGGATTCTTTGCCCCCTGCCCCCTTTTTTACAGTATGTGGTACCTTGGTGTTGTGTGTTCAAAACTTGCCAAACTCCTATCCAAAACATTGGCAAGTGAGACCCAAAACATGGCTGCTTTACCATTTTCTCTTCTACTCAACTGTAATGATACCTACTTTCCAGATTTTGCTCAGCTGAAATGTTGGCTTCAATAACTGTTTGTATATGTAAATACGGGCTTGTTTATGTTTTTACATATTTAAAGTGGGCAACTTCTGCATCGTCTGTTTTCAAGTACGTGAGTAACAGGCAGGTGGCTCTTAAATTTCACGTATTTTTACCTTCACATTGGAAGATGCTACAGCAGTTAGTAATGACATGAATTGTCTTTACACTGACACTCTGATCGAGACGAGGAGAAGAGGTTAAGCAAAAATTATCTCAGTGTTGAAAAACATCTTTCTGAAGACACTAATACTACAATCTTTAAAAAAAAAAGAACCAACAACTGGAAAATATGTGTATTTTTTGTAAGAGAAGCTAGCTAGAGCTTGAGATGGTTACTTTAGTGTTGTACATAAAAATTATTGATACTTATTTGGTCAACTATGGTTGAAATCATAGTAATGAATATATTAGTATCTTTCAGCTTAGGGGTTCATTAAACTTCACAAAATGGGCTTTATGTTTTTAAGTTATCTGTGTATTGTCCAGTAAGGGACAGTTTCAGATGTGTCAGTCTGGTTACAAGGCTGTATGAGATTATGTCCTTGTCCTTGTTAGAACATAACACCATCTTCAGTATCTTACTGAAGCCAAAGCTAAAGAGTTTTTCATAATGGAAGTAGTACAGAGTTCTGATGATGTTTCTGTTATTTTGCTTATGATTCACTATAGTCTCACTGATTGATTTAAATCAACAGAAGTTATCGCAAAGATGTCCTTATGATATTGAACAGGCACTTACCCTGGGTTTTGCTTCCTTCCTTTTGAATAGATGTTTATTCAGGTTCTCAAAATATACCTCACAGACTTTTGTCGTAAAAAGATCACTGATGATTTGTTCAAGAAGATCCTTTTAATTCAAGAAAACGTAAGTAGTTTTGTTGGTTAATATTTCAGACCACAGAAAATAAGAGTTAATCTAACCAGCAAGCTGCCACAGCAGGCTATCTCACCTACTCTTTTAAACAGCAATGTCATCTGTAATCTATTTCAGAAGCAATGCAAAGAAACTCCCTTGTTAGTTGGTTCTCTCCATTACCTTGTTCACATTTTCCCTTCTTGTTGTATGAAGTGATCAGGACAGTGTTGTGTCTAATCTGTTAAGAATAAAAGTATTTTGTAGTTGAATCCATTCAAGCAAACAGAACGTTGTGTACCTTATTCACTCAGATTTAAAAATTTCTAATTATCAGGTCTTTGTCTGTTTCCATGTATCATTACTGATAATAAAATACCAGGAAATAAAGTACCAGAAGGAAACTCGAGGCTTTTTTAATCAAGTGAAAGTATACTTATTTTCCTCTTTATCCTTTTTCTTCCATATACTTGTATCAAAATCCATTTTCCACTTCTGAAGAAGATGACATATATTGACAGTCAACATGCATTTCAGGTGGAGTCACAATACTATTTTTAAGGTTATTAGAAGGAAAAAAAGCTTTACAAAACTGAACACAGTAGGAGAGCTACTGGTTCCACTTTCCATTTTCCAGATTAGAGTCATAGAAAAGTCTGGGTTGAGAGCCACCTCTGGAGATCATCTGGTCCAACCTTCTGTAGGAAGCAGGAAATAACATCAGGCTATCCAGTGCCCTGCCAAGCCAAGTGTTGCATATCTGCACTGAAGGAGACTCCCCCATTTCTCTGGGCAGCCTAATCCAATATTTAATTCTTCCTACAGTAATGATTTTTTTTTTCTTACATACAGATGGAATTTCACATTTAGGCATTAAAGTCTATTAGCTTGCCAGCTCTAGCTGTTGGGATTTATTTTCTTCATTCAATCTCACAATCTGTGAATGAATATCAGGAATCTCTGTAGTTGTACCTAGTAATTTATTTCAGAATGGGTTTTGCCTTAAAACCATTGATCTGCCTTAAATCCTCAGGTTTAGTATTAAGTGATTGTATTTACTAAATGAAAAGTGAGATTTGGTTTACAAATCCCTTTTTCTGACCGACTTCTGGTAATGACTTCAAATTATAAACACAGAGGTAACATAGATTAGGCATGTTTCCCAATATAGCCTAACCCTCAATGAGGCTTGATGGCATCGGTGTCTTCATGCACCTAACTGAGCTGCTTCAAGACAAAGACTAAATCTTGTTTATTAGATGCAGTAATTGCTGGAGTAGGCCAGTTGTTTAAGTGTCAATATGGGATTCCTATGTCCTGTATTCTGGAGAGAAAGGTCTTGGAAACATGACAGCCTTAGGGCTGGGATATCATATAAGGGATGAGGCTGATTATGGATACCACATAAAAGAGACACTGGTAATAAGCAAAAGCATTAGCACTGGAAACTACTGTATGTAATACTGCATTGGCAAGACTGAGGATTATATGATTTATCACAGACAGCATTTTCGTCTTTTAATTCTGCACCGTAAGAAAAATTCATGGGATTTTGATAAAATTGTTTGTGAAGCTTGTCAAAATCTGGTTACATTTCTTTAAGGCATAGGGTATCAAGTTAATGCATTGACACACAAAATTGTGTGATATTAAAAGTAAATGCTTGTTACATAAGACATGTTTCAGCAACTGAAGCATCATCCATTTCAATACCAAGCTACTAAGGGCAGAAGCCTAGTATTTGTCAGTATCATTAGCTTTCAAGAAAAAATTATCCTGGTTTCAAGGATAGAAAAACTTTAAAAACCCATATAATCGTATAGCCTGTAATTTGTCCCTTATGAGCATTACACGTGTGTTCATCCGTAGATGCTAGCACTCTCCAGGGGAACACTATCTGATTATCATATCTGGATACTTCTCTGTGCTTTCAAACACAGCATAGATATATGCATATATACAGCATATATATATATAGCTGCTATTTAAGATGGGGCATATGCATTAGAATAAAAATATTTGTGGATAGATTCAAAGGATTATTAGTATGAAAGCCCATTGAGCAGTGTTTACTAAAAACTGAATTCAGTGGAGATGGACAGGTCTTGATCGTACTCACCTAGTAGTGGAACTGTATGTATTTATTTTGAGTGTAGTTAAGAGCTGCCATATATATACCTTGAGTTTTCTTTGCTTGCTGCAGGAGGTGCATTACCCAGAGGCAGAACTTTCTGAATACTCTTGTTCAGCTTCCTGTGCCATGAGCCACAACTGACATACAAATTCACTCCAAAATTCAGAAATTATGTCTGGTTTTCTGTTTAACAAATCACTTGCTTTTTTCTTCCAGGATTTTGAAGAATTACAGAAACAACTTGACTCTAGACTCCAGAATACTGAGATGTCAGGAGCACATAATTCAGAGTACCAGACCCTAGAAGACTTAGAAAGGAAAGAAAGAGAATATTCTGAGCACATAATAGATAATGTAACTTCCTAATTTTTCTCTCTTAAAATTTTATTTTAATGTTATTCTTTTGATGGGAATGCTTTTTTTATTTTTTTTTAAACTGTTGTGTTGACTAGTCCACAGTTAGTACTGTAGCTGTGTGTGAGTCCTGAAAACATTTTTACATTGCTCCAGCAAAGTATTTCCAGCTCCCTTTGGGAGCCAATGTGTTTTTTATACAAACACTGTTTTGTCATGCTGGGTTTAGAGCTGAGAAATGTCTATTGCTTGTCAGATAGTGAGATTTATTTCAAGCCTAGGTATAGTCTGACTTTTAGGAATATTATCGTAGCACCTTGTTTTCTTCAATCCTCCATAACTGAGTAAGAGAGTAATAAGAGACTATAAAACATTTTTAAGCTGAAATAATTATGAAGAAAATAATTACCTTTTAGCATACTTTGCACATTTACCTTAGCAAAACGTTTTGCCTTAGCAGATCTGCACATTATAATACATGTACACGTTTTTTTATGTAAAAAATACAGTTTGATAGCAGGCATTTGATTCTCAAAGTCACGTTTGGGGGGTTTTTTCTCTACAGTAGTGTCACTGCATCCAAATAGCTTGCAGGCTAGAAAACTGGAGGTTAAGAATATTCTGCATATTATTTTCCAGTAAACTGAGTAATCTGGAAGATATTCTTCTTCCCAGTCCTGTTTTTGAGGTTTGAGCAAATTGACTGCTGATGAAAATGAGAGACTGACTAGTCAGACTGATGGCTCTGTGAGCTGCCTGCGCTGATTGACCGTGGCATTTCAGCCCTGAACTAAACAGCCCATCATCTCAGCCTTGGGCCTTTTTCATAGAGGAGTTAACATTTTTTCATGTCTGATGGTGAAGTGCTTCACTAGGAATTTTCTCAGCTTGCTTGTGATTCTCTGTGCCTTTCACTTTATACTGGAAGTCCTGGTAATGATGGTACATCTGTGTCAAGTTTCTTTTGCAATTTAACTTGCTCTTTGAAAAATTGATTGTTTGGAGTTCTCCAGAGTAAGTCACATAAGAACTCCCTGGCAGCCTTGCTGAGCAACATGAGGCAGTTATTCACCAGCGGCAGCCATCCTTCAGTGGGTCTGTCACTCTTATGCCAGCAGATGCTTTTCATCCATATTGAAATTATTTCTCTGTATGCAGATTTGTGTAGATCAAGACCTTGAACTAATCCACTCTTCCCTCAGTAATATAAAGGGGTTGTTTTGCCATACTTACAGATGCCATAGTCACAGCTTTTTGCAAAACTCACAGATACTTAATACAAATCTTGGCGATGGATACATTTTCTTATCTTTATGTGTACTAGTAATCCCATTGAAGACCACATAATATTCACAGTTGTGCAGAGTCGTAAGTGTTTGTGGGACTGACACCTAAAAGTAGAGATTACCCATACAGTAATGTGTCAGAATGGGCACGTATGCTGTGCTGATACTGCATAAAGTACTTAATTCCAGCACAGTTAATGAAGTGTTTATGTAGCACGTGGCTATGAAAGGCTTTGATGGTGAAAACCAGTGACAATTTTCAGTTTTCCTTTTTTAGGAAAAATCTTGTTTGACTGGAATGCCTACTCATACAGCTAAATAAACTTCCCAGAAAAAATGGCTGCAGTTTGTTATCTTTTTTAGCTTTCCCATTAATACTAACAACATAATAGGCTTTTATAGATGTAATATGTGAAGAACTAACAACAAACTCTTAGCAAGTGATACAGAATGATTACATTTAAAAAGGTCAGGATTGACCTACTGGTTATGTGCCACCAACACGTGTATTGTATAGCAAATAGGCTCTTTAGCTTTGTATAGTAAATAGGCTCTTTAGCTTTTCAAAATGTTCACTATAACTAATATTGAAAGCTGTCTGTAGTCTCAGTGACTTGTATCTCAGTAGACTCATATGCCTCTTGCTGTAATGAAATACTAGATGATTAATGAGGGAACATGGATTGTTTTTTGATTCATATTCTGCAGATGGAAGCTTTCTGGAAGCAGACTGACAAAGCCCAGCAGGCGTTTTTGGACCAATCAAAATGCTCAAGTGCCAAAGCAACAAAGATAATGATGGATCTGACTGAGAAGATGATTGCAGTAGAAAGCTTATTAAGTGAATCTCAGGATTTGCAGGCAATGGTAAAGTACAAAAAGAAAGAAAAGTTGAGAGAGATTTAGTCAATCTGTACACAAAGAATGATGCAAGTGTACAGAGTCTGTCTGTCCTGCCTCAGGAATGACGTAGACTGCTTACTCCAGTTGTCTCTTTGAGGTTTGTTGTAAAGAACTCAATTTCCATTGCAGTTTATGAAGACTTACAGGAGGGTGAACTCTCTGCACTTGAGTTCTAATTCTCAAAATACTGTTTAGGCAGTCATTTTAGGAAAAAGTGATATTAATGCAGCTAGTTGAGCTAGGAGCAAGAGCACTAGATCTAATGATGAAGGAGAATTACTACCCTGGGCATTAGGACATTTCTTTTTCTTTCAAAGTATTTATTCCACTTTGACTGATAAATCCTAATTTAAATTTGAGGGTGATTCTGTGTGTCCAATGACTAACTGGAAGAGAAAACCCTTAACATCTTTTAGTGATACGGTGTTAAGAGGGAAAAACGTGTTTATAAATGCATCAGCACTGTGCTTTATGTTGTGTTAAATCTAACAGATCCTTTATTTGCTTTGCGCAGTACATACTGAAAGAAGTACTTGGAATTTATAGACTAACAGTATCAGAATCATTTATTAGTAATTTGGAGAATAAATGGATAACTAGCTTTATTTGGCTTACTAATAAACAGACACAGTAATTATTAGTTTGTTAGTTTTGCACTGGAGCAGCTAAGTAAACTGAGCTGGCCAGATATGAAAATTGTCTTTGCAGCTGATCACACTTGACTCATACCAGGCTACTGCACAGTAAGTTCCTTCAGATGGACAGACTTCAAATGAGGTGTTTGGATACAGATACAGGAAATATTCCTACCTGAAATCACTACTGTGATACTTGCATCTCATTGCAAAGGTCATTGTCTGTGCGTCTCCGTTAACTACAGTAGTTGTCACATTCTTTCCAACGTTGCAGCATCGTCTAAAGCAGTTGCAGTTTCACACAGGAAATCTTGCGCTCTACTGTACTCCTGGGCTTCTTCTGTAATAGTGCAATGAAAGCTGCTAGGCCATAGACAATTATACTAATTTTTAGTATATTTACTGAACTCCAGGTGACCGCATACTTGAAGGAATCCCAGCAGTATCAAAATCAGATATGTGTCCTCATTTCAAAATGAAGGCCCATACTGGTGTGCTGTATAGTACCTTGAAAAGTGGCCCAGGACTTCCACGTTGCCCTTCTGTACATCTTTCCCCCTTGAGTATTTAGGTTTGTTCAGCAAGCTTATTGTTGTCTTTTTCTGCCTTAATGTCTTCTTGACAGCTACAAGTAATGAAAAACACCAATAGTTTTAGATTAGCTCTTGCAACTGAACATGTGATAAACCCACTGCTATCCTACACCAGTCAAGGTTTTCAGAAGTATTTAAGTACATGAAGATTGCTATTCACATGGTCTTGAGAAGCCTCCTTGGTTTTCTGTGTAGTTTGGGAATGAGTGGGAATTCAATGAAGGGACAAGCACAACCAAAGACCCATTCTTGGTTTCTAAACAGGACTTTTTAATGTTTGTTTTAGGACATTCAGGAAAGGTTATTCAACTGGGAGCTTATGGTGAAAATGATCGATTCGCTGAAGTCCTATATACCAGAAGAGTGCAAGTGTAGATTAAATATTGTATCAAATATTCTGGACCATTTAACTGTAAAGAATAACCTCTCAGTCCGACAAAAGGAAGAACTTCTAACAGATCTGCACAAGGCCTTCTGGGAACAGCTGGCACATTTCAGTAGTGGTGAGTACTTAGACCAGCGATCATGACTTAACAAATACGGATGTGAGTTCTCATTATTGTATTAAGCAGTAAAAAAATTATGGCTTCAGCCTTATACCCCTCTGTTTTAAAAACGTATTGATGAATTGGCCAAGAACGCTATTACTGTGAAGGGTGGATGCTTAGAATAGAAACTTTGGCTTCAAGCCTTCTAGGTCTTGTTTCAGGCATTACTATGAACTTACTCTACAGTTCACATAATCTATACCTTACTTCATTAATTTGAAGATTGAAGAAGAGTCACTTTTGTTACAAGTACTTGTGAGATTTCTCCGTTTACTCTTCACGTACTTGACATTGTCAGTGATACTGGCTAATGTTAGGCACAGTAATAGCTGTGTATGTGCAGAGTACTGTCTTACAATCTCCTGCTAACATGTGGAGCCAGAAGATACACAAAACATAGTTATGCTATCACTCTTGTGAGAAGATAATTTTAAGGCTTATGATCTTCAGATAAACCTCTCTTTTATTGTGTCAGACTAAAATACTTTAAAAACAAAGTCTTTTCCTCTTACAGCCCTTCACATTGCCTATCTGTAAAGTACACCATTATAACAAGGTCTAAGCTGACTGACCCACTGATTTAAGGTTCTCCCTGTGTCACTTTGCATGTTACCTAATGCCCAACATGTTAAGAAACACACCCCCAACTTCTCTGATAAGTGTTGTTATCAAGGGCTTTGTGCTTCCCATCAGCACTCATGGAAAATTATAGTACATGTTCAGCCAAAACGAAAACAGTGAGAAGTATTTTATTCTCACACATTTCCCAGAAACATTTCTGCTACTTGTGGGCATATTTAAAGAAAATTGTTCTAGCAAAACAGCATCAGGGTTAGAGTTCAGTGAACTGAATAGTCAGAGTGAATGTAGTCTTGTTGCAGCATATTCTTGCTGCAGTGCTGCTCATTCACATTCAGGCTTCATGTTGATAAATTGTGCCATATCTCACGGTCCGCAATTCAGAGAATCGCAGAATGGTGGAGGTTGGAAGGGAGCTCTGGAGGTCATATGGTCCAACCCCCCTGCTCCAACAGGGTCAGCTACAGCTGGTTGCCCAGGACCATATCCAGGTGGCTTTTGAATATCTCCAAGGATGGAGACTCCACAACTTACCTGGGCAACCTGTGCCAGTGCTTGGTCACTCTCACACTAAAAAAGTGTTTCCTGATGTACAGAGGGAACCTCCCATGTTTCAGTTTGTTGCCTCTGGTCCTGTCACTGGGCACCATAGAAAAGAGCCTGGCTCTGCCTTCTTTGCACCCTCCCTCCCGGTATTTATATACAGTGAAAAGATCCCCATGAGCCTTCTCTTATCTAGGCTAAACAGCCCCAGTTCTCTCAGCCTGTCCTCATAGGAGAGATGCTCCAGTCCATAATTCCAGTTCCATTTTCATGGCCTTTCATTGGACTCTCCCCAGTCTGTCCATGTCTCTCTTGTACTAGGGAGTCCAGAACCAGACATAGCACTCCAGGAGTGGCCTCACCAGTGCTGAGTAGAGGGGAAGGATCACCACCCTCTACCTGTGTGCAATGCTTTGTCTAATGCAGCCCAGGACACCATTACCCTTCTTTGCTGCAAGGGCACGTTGCTGCCTCACGTTCAACCTGGTGTCCACCAGAATCCCCAGATCCTTTCCTGCAAAGCTGCTTTCCAGCTGGGTGGCCCTCAGCATGTCCTAGTGCCTGGGGTTATTCCTCCCCAGGTGCAGGACTTTGCACTTCCCCTTGTTGAACTTCGTGAGATTCATGAACTTCATGAGATTCATGAACTTCATGTCAGCCCATTTCTCCAGCTTGTCAAGCGCCCTACGGGTGGCAGCATGGCCCTCTGGTGTATTGGCCACTCCTCCCATTTTTTGTGACCTCTGCAAACTTGCTGAGGGTGCACTCTGCCCCCATCATCCAGGTCATTAATGAAGATACCGAGCAGGACTGGACCCAGTATTGACCCCTGGAGTACACCACTCATTACTGGCTTCCAGGTGGACTTTGTGCAGGTTTTCAATCCATCTCGCTGTCTGCTCATCCAGCATCTACTTCATCTTCTCTATGAGGATCTGACGGGAGACTGTGTCCAAAACCTTGCTGAAGTCAAGGTAGACAATATCCACTGCTCTACCCTCATCTACCAAGCCAGTCATTTCATCATAGAAGGTGATCGGAATTCCCATGCTGCCGACTTGCTCCACTTGAAAAACATCAATCAACCACATGAACAGTTTGCTGATACTCATGAGTTTATGTATATCATGATGCAGATTATTTCATGGATGTTTGCTCCTAAAACTGCCATGCCTAGTTCATAGTCTTTGTATAGGTTCAGCCACTAACATTCCTTAAGCATAAACGTACATCTGTGGGTGTTTTTTTCTGTTTTTTGTCAAGTTTCTCTTGTTCCAAAGCAAAAATACCTCTGTCAAGGCCTTGATTTTATGCAAAATAAGTGTTTATAGTTATATATATATATTATAGTTAGTACAGCCTGTGCAGAAGGGCATTATCAACTTCCTGGTTTTAGATAAAAATGAAATATGCTTAAAAAAAAAAAACAATCTGGAGTGCAGTATCTTCACATGAGAGTCTATGTGGACCTTGCTTACGAGCTCCTAAATACATGTTAACTGTACCTATAATTCACAAGCAGAACACAAAGCCAGCAAGACTGTGCTCCTAGGAAACAAACAGGGAAGTAGTAAAGAATCAGGTAGTGTTTAAAAATAACAGTTGCTACATTTGTTCAGATGACATTTTTATTACAGGCTTTCCTGTATTTTCAGTGCACTTTCAAGTGTTTTGTCAGTGCATAATCACCCTGTGGATAAGCTCAATAAATTAGCATGGAGGATAAGTAGCATGCTCAGTGCTACAGTACTGTGCTCTTTTATTTCTCCACAAATAATTTCTCATAGTTAAAGCAGCTTGGTGGCAGAACAGCAGCCACAGATGACTATTATTTTGCATTCCCCTTTAGCTGCCCATGTTAGGACTGAAGTACTGGTCTGGGGCAGGGCGAGTGGGGGAAATGAATAAAGTTGTTCCTAGGTGGACAGGCAATGAGACATGAAATAGGAGCAGAACAACAAAAGCACCAATTCCACTCTGCAGCACAGGGGCCAGATAGACTCATGAATTTATAAATCACTTGGAGCTGTAGGGGGGATAAAGGGGCGAAGAACTCCGTCCCAAATATTTCACAGTACTAGCGCAAAATCAGAGGGACCTTGGGAACTTTTGCTGCAGGTTCCTGGATGAGTCACTTTGGAAGCCTGGTAGGGCTGCATTCCAGTTCAAGCTAATCTGAACTAGCACTGCTCTAGACCTTTTCTCCCCACCATATGTTACTGCCCCTGTCCTTGCAGCAGCATTTGCATATCTGCAATTAGGCAATGAGCCACTTCTGGACCTTCCCGAAGCAGGATGGGGAAGTTTGGGATGCTGCAGGTGGGAATCTGTTTCTTGAACTAACTCAGTGCCTTCGCATAAGCAGCAGCAGCAGCAAAAGGGAGGGTGCAGGATGGTAGTAATCCAAAAACCTGATAAATTTAAGTGCCATGTAACGACCCAAAAGTTTGTATCTAAAAATACCATCAGGGTAAGAATCAAATTTGAAATTCTGCATGGTAATTACTTGCCTATTTCATTCACTAACAGATTTCTGTGAGCTTATGTTGTGTGACGGCAGCAGATGCTGCTTTCTCCCTGTGGAGTTGTGGTACCTAATCATCGGTGGTTTATGTTCCAGAATGTATCCAGCAAAGTAAAGACCTGATCTTGAAACGACTGGAGTGCCGTGCAAAGAAGAGAGAAGAGTTCAAACACAGACAGAAAGCTGAACAAGGGAGTCTCCTCAGTAAAACTTTTCATATTAAAGATGTTCATAATTTTCTTAAGGTGAGCACGTAAATGCTTGTTTTCACTGTTCCATTAGTTTTTAAGGCCAAATATATTGCAGATTTCTCCCAATTCCATAAAATGGGGATTTTTGGGTCGTCGTGAGAATCATGTACAGTAGCACAGGTAGGATAGAGTCAGACTCCCTATTGCCTAGGCTTGCCTAGAGACTTTTCCTCCAGTGTTGGTCTTGTCACATTGGAACAAAATGCCAAAGGATGTTAATGCTAGATTGCATGTTTTGTAGAAACCATCTTTTACTTAGATACTATGTGTTTGGTTCAATATAGGAAATCTCGGGAGGAAAGTATCTGGCCAGCACTACAGAAGAAAACAGACTGCACTCATCTAATTGCTTTTCTATGAGTGAGGTTACTGTGGCTCAAAAGGCTATCAAATTTCACATAAGCAGAGGGTAAAGTCATTATGATCACTGGCAGGATACCTTAGAGAAGGTCTGCAAGAGATAGTTTAATATGGTATACAATGGCCAGTGTATTGTTGGCCGTATTTTCTATAGAGCTTTATTATTGTTCAGAATGTATATACGAAATCGGAGTTCTTAGCTGTAAATGCTGCAAAACTCCTATAACTGCTGAGAACTACAGACCCAAGTTATTAAGAAATTAAAAAAAAATCAATCCTCAATTTTCATGAAAAGAAATAATTTAAGGTTAAAGTGGTTACATCCAGCAGCATTAAACTTTTGATGAAATCTAATAACTTCGATAAATTACTGTATGAGAAGACCCAGATTCCAGCTGCAGCAGACTGACAAAATGTATTGATCTCAACACTGCAATTTTGTACTGCAGGGCCAAGTTCTTTAATTATATTGTATGAATTGGATGATTAGGTTACTGTTCTTGTATGCAACACCTATCTGGCAACACCTCATTTCCAAACAAAAGGTTTCAGGCATTTTAAAACAATAGAGCACATTTTACTTCTCTGGCTTTTCATAACTTGAGACAAATAATTCTAGCACACATTTTTGTAGGCATTGAGCACTTGTGAATGTATTTTCCTTATACACATCATTCAAAACTCTTGGACACATCCCAAATTCATTAAACCAAGCTTAGAAATTTTGTATTAAGACCTGTCCCTTACAAAGTTAGAGCCACACAGCTTTGTGCAAGAGATGCTCTATTCTGTACACCTTAGAAAGCTAGCAAATACATTTAGTTAACCTGTAGACCAATGATCTGCTTATGACAGGCTGAGCGGGAATGGGCAACTTGCACTTCATGCTGCAGTACAGGACACAACTAAGTCTTAATGTTATTAAATGCCTGTGTGCAAATAATAAAGCAAGCCAGAAATGTAAGCCTTTATGCTGCCACAGTGGAGAGAGCCTTTTGTCTCAGAACAGATAGGGTCTTGAGTCCAGAGACTCTTTGAAGAATAAGAAAAATATATATATATATATCTCTGCAGCTCCCATGATTTGACTTACATAGTCCAGTAATTTTTTTGTGTGAACAATCCCCTCAGCACTGAGGAGCTATTTTAAACCTGTTTCATGGTTTCACAGCTAGCCCAGCAGTGAAGGGCTTGGTCCTGGATATTCACCATGAGCCCAGAGTTGTACCCATCAAATGCACTTTTCTTCTCTGCCTTCCCCGCTCCACCTCATCAAAGGGCTTGCACCACCATGGTAGCAGCCTCATTAGTAACTGACCTTTCTGCTGAATTTTAAGTGGTTGCCAATTAAGAAGGTGGATTTTGCAGTGAACCTTCTTCACATCAGTTTCTTTGGAACACAAGTTGGATGGTAATGATTTCGTTGCTGCAGCTCTGATTTTTTTATATGACAGAATGACCTAGATATTAAAGGGTAGAGTCCCTGTATCGTTCTGTTTCCTTCATCTCTGTTTACACTGGAAAAGCAGCATTTTCATTTCATGTTTTTACTGGCAGAGAATACAGGAATGATCAAGTGAAACACACAAGCCAAAAAGTGCCAGTTACAGTAACCCAGTCTTGCTCAGCCCTACCCCCAGTACGATTTCATAAGTGTGAATTTTAAAGTCCACCTCTACAAGAATGACCTGTACATGAAGAGTTTATGAGCACTTTTGTGCTCTTTAGAAGAGCCCTATTGACATACCTAACGAAGAAAGCTATATTTACCACCAGAATGTAAGAAGGCACATGGCAGTTCAAATCAAAATATGGAACACTTATGTATAAGACCACTCATTAGTCTATAGAATGAGGTGTTCTTTGTCTGTGAAATTCAGTCTTCCATTGCAGCACATGAGCCTGCCAACACATAGCAGTCCTGGCTTGAAGAAAAAAAAATTGCATCCCTCTTAAATCTGTGACCAAGGACCAAATCAGGACCAAGTCATAGATCAGCCTTTTAGGCTGAGTGCCATCTCACAGTACCATGGGACATGGTGACCAGCCCCAGTGCAGAAGCCCTGTACAGTGTGATACAGCTGTAACTAAGGTGTCTGATGGCTGTTCTGCACCTCATAGTACTGGCTGTGATGAAGTGATATTCATACACAGGAAGGCAGGTTGCAAATCTGATCATTTCATATGTTTTCCAGTATTAGGTACATATTGTTTAACCCCAAATTGCTGAGGCTATGGAGTTTCATACTCAAGACTGGTTATTAAGGTGGGTAGGCAAGTTTCATTTCCCCTGAGTCATGGTTCCAGATAAACATTTACTATTGTGATGGTACATGGGAAGGGGATCAGGGAAGGGAAGGGAAGGGAAGGGAAGGAGAGGATCACAAGAAGGTATCAAAACCTTTTCAGCTATTTAAATATACTTACTGTGTTTCTTTTAGGCTTACCATGAGCTGTTAGAGAAGCATCGGCAAGCACAGTGGGAACTGGAGGAGGAGGATGACTGCGAGAGCACAGAGGCTGTTGCAGATCTCTACAAGGTGCCACCTCTAGTGATATCTGTCATTTACTAAAATAATACTGAAGATCCTCTAACCCCACTACACAGACTCAGGCCTTGGGGGGGGGGACTGCAGAATTGCAGGAGAGATCATGGCAGCTCCAGGAAGCTAGGCTGGCAAACCAGAAGATGGAGGCAAGACAGGCTTCCACATTAACTTGCTTTTTCCATTATCTTCCAAACACGCTATGCTTCCTAACCTCATATTAGTCAGAAAATGCCTACATGGTCTGCCAAAACGTGCTGCTTGGGTGGCTGACAAGGCTGCAATAACGTTGAGAGCGCACAATGTCTGGCATTACTACCAGGAGAGAGACTTCATTTATGTAGCGTAATTATCTCTTCTGCACCATGGTAGGATGATACTATTCTTAGTTAACTTCACTACATCTCCAAAAATAGTTCTCATCTCTTTTCCTCTCAGAGAAATTGTTTTGACACTAGTTAGTTCCCTGAAATAATTTCAGAACTTTGGTATAAGTAATATTTTTACACTTCTTTATGTTACTGATTTGCAGAAAATGTAGATGCTTCATGCTTCTGCATCATCTTTAATTATTTTCTGTCTGTGCCAAAAAAATAAGATAACATGATGTATCTGATGAAGCCCAAAACTGTAGCCAGCAGTGACCTTTAATTAGGCTGGAACTAATCACTTTCAGCTTAACAGGATCCTTGTCATGATTAATTATGAACAAATCAGGGTGTTATAGAAACTTGTAGTCCCTATCACACCAGGGTAAGATACCCACACAATCTTAATTAGCACTAGTCCACATGCACTTTTTCAAATCCAGTTGATGAAAAAAATAAAGCCACTGTACTTAGAACAAATAGTTTTGCCATGGTTTTATGTAATAGTGCAAGCAACAAGATATTTGAGAAGAACTACTGCTTTGGTGAAAAGAAAAGTTTGCTTGAAGGGCTATGCCAGTGAATCAGAGTAGATTAATTGTAGAAAGCTATTTAATTTAAGAAAAGTCAACATGTCTGCTGATATTACCGTGCACAGACCATTCTCCAGAGTTACTAATTTCTTCACCCCTTTCCTCAATTCATATGAAGTCTCTGGAGACCAAACAATTTTTTTTTACCCTGCACAGTTCCATCTCATTTGTGAAATTATGTTTCTTTCCTTTATAGTGTGCTCTGCTTTAGTGACACTAAGATCAGACTGAAAATCCTATTTCTTTCAACACCGTTAGCTAAGTTTTCCATTAAATAAAAATTGGTTTGGGTGAATTAAGTGTTTCTAGAATTGCCAAGTTGCCAGGAGAGCTGCACAAACTTGAACTCTGCCAATTCACCCAGCTCTAAGCCATTATATTCCATATTACAGCTGCTCTCTTATTCCTAGACACAAACAAACACTGCCAGACATGAAAAACTGTAAGTACTGTGATCCAACTGGCATCCATTGAATGAGGGTCCACAAATCTTAATTTCCGCTTCTTTTTTTTTTAATAATAAAACATTTTTATTGTGACATTTAACGTAATGAACAACTGCACTTTCTCCCCTTAACCCTAAATACAGATACTACAGACTGTTGAGGAGAGCAGACTGCTTCTGAGTATACTTTGTAAGCAGCATAAGCTAGAAAGAAGAGAAAATACAAATGAGCATAGCCTTGCTGTAGAGAAATGGAGTTGTTCTGACTTGTACAGCAGAGGGAAGTGCAGTAGTTGCACATGTTGTCCGTTACTTGGGGCATAAAAGCAAAAGTAGATTTGCCCTTAAGGGAAGGAATTGCATCTCACAACCACAATGCCTTTGCTTCTCTCTCTGTTTCACCACACTTTCAGAGCAGAAGTGCACCTTGGGCAAGCAGAAGCCTTTCCCTGGGCAGCAGGGCTTTGCCCCTTTGCTTAGTTTCTCCAGGTTTCTGCTAGGGAGAAGCTACTGTTACCAAAGGGGAAGGCAAGATACCCATGGGAAGGCAACAGGGATTTGAGATCCTCCACAGTGCAGTGGTGTGACTGCAGCTCAGGCAGACCTGAGCAAGCAAACATTAGGTTAACCAGCTGGGTACCAGCAACCCTCACATGACAATAGTCAGCACTGTGCTACAAGACCTATGTCCCAGTCGGGTTTGAACCAGCTAGTCTGTAGAACCAGCTAGTTTGGGCACATCTGCAAACACTGCAAAGCTCCGTGTTGTCATTCCAGAAGGTCTGTACTCCCTGAAGCTTAACTGATAGTCATTTGCCTTGCACTCATTTAGAAAGTTTGGACTCTGACTCTGCTGTTTCTGTCCTACCATGAGCAAGGAAAAGGTTAAATTAAATATTTGGTTAAACATTCTGTTGTTCACTTAGTCTCCATATTTCCATAACTGCAAGCATGTGTTACTAAGTAGTAGGCAAGTAGAAGGCAAGAAAAGAAGTTCACCAGCAGAGAGTTGTGTTCTGTTGCTTTTTTATCATTCCAGTAGAAACAGAAGCCTAGCAATATTACTGAAAAAACTGAGTGAAACTCTCTGAAGTCACCCTGGCATGCTCCACAGGTATTTAGATGAATATTCCTCAGCCTGTGGTCCACAAGACATCCAAAGATAGCCCGCAAGACAATTTTAAAAAGATGCATTCATGCATTTGTAAACACAGTCAGAGTGGAAAGAGCTAGAAGTAATTAAATATTTAAGAGTTCAGCCCAGTTCTTATTTTGTTGCAAATGAAAATTAGCCTTGCAAAACTGCACAAAGTAGTTATGCTTCCCACACACAGAAGTTAAATAGCTGTTGGATTTAAGGGAAATAAACCAGAGATGTCTTACTAGGAGCTAATTACCTAAATCCAGGAGGGGGCAAAGTGTTACCTAAATCACAATTTCTCCATAACCAAGACTTAGCATTAGCATCCTATATGCCCTCTCTACCAAGTAGCTCATACTCTCTGCTAGCCCAGGATTAAAGAAATATCATGTATTTTTTCTGGGCTGAACAATCTAATATTTTCCAATACTCACAGGATTTAGGGTTACAGACAAGTTCCTGCTTGTGTACCCATTGCCATCTTGACTTTGGTTGGAAACCCCCAGAACTGGAATGAATCACACCACACTTTTCAAATTAAGGGTAGCTCAACCCAAACCATGGTGAGGTTTTTCTTCCACATCCAAGCCCTCCATTTTCTTAAGTTGCTTTCATAGTCCTTGGGGCATCATCAGTATTGCAATTTATCAGATAAACACCAATATCCTAGAAAAGAACAGCCATGTTGGTTCAGACAAATGACCAATTGGAGTAGTATCCGGTAAGTTCATGTAATGTAACAGCACCAGTGCTAGAGAGATGCATAATACCCAGTTAGATAGAGTTAGGTCTGTTCTCAGGCATACCTTCAGCTAAAAGCAGTTACTAGCAGCTTTCAGAGCAACTATCTTAGAGCATACAGGTGCCTCCATCATGTGTCAACTTTCTAAACCATCCACCCCCATTTAAATACTGTATCAAAACTTGCACTGTAGGTGACAAAGCAGAATAAATCCTAAAGAAAGGCAGCCAGCATAAAGTTCCCAAGGGTTGCACTCTGACAAATTCACTCAACCAAGCACAGAAGCCCAAGTGCCCAGCCATCGCCCTGAGCTTATGGTCTTTAGCTGCTTTATTTGAAGGCCATTGCACCTTTTTTTCAAGGGAAAAGGACCTGGCAAGGTCTTGTATGTGATGAAGGCTTATATGTGATAAAAAGTTTAGGCCCTCCATTCCTCCTTCAGTTGTGCACTAGAATAACTTGACTTATTTCAACAATTGCCTTGGTTTGCCCTAGTATAAGCAAGCAGGGAAGCAAGCCTAACAGACTTAGTTTCATGAATAAGTAGAAAGATAACCTCAGTGCAAGAGGTGATATTAAAATACAGAGAAAAGGTCACCATGTGACCGAATTGGGAAAAATGGTGTCACTCACCTTAAGTGCCACTCACTTGTGGGAGAAGATCCTTACCTTGTTCTCACAATGTTCTTCTAAGCCCTTCTCAAATTTCTATGCCTTTTTTATTTTTTCATTTTTTTCCCCTTTTAAACAGTTCGTGAGTTCACCAAGATAGATTTATATAACCCTCAAGGTAGATTTATATAACCCTCTAGCACTACTGTAGGCTGTAGCTCTACAGTACATCAAGGAATTATCCAAATTGGTGAATAAATATGTAGAAATGCAATGATCTGGAAGCTGGCTGTGTTTGCATAGAATAATTGAGTAGGTTTGTTTTGTGTACACATGAATAAATCAATTAAAATGATTTAACCAAGGTCAATGGAATCTGTTGATGCCTGAAGTGAATGAATGAGCTATATTTGGAGGATAGCATAGGACTTTTCAGCCATACTAGTGCATTAAAATAGTGCGCTGTAGGTGAATAGTCTGTGTCTAGGCACAGGCTCCATAACTAATTTTTGAAATGCAAGTTGAGGAATGGGGGCAAGTGATTTTGATTATCACAGTATATCATAACTGAAGGAGGAATTGTGTCAGAGGTAATTGAATGGCTCAGCCTAATATTTCCGTAAACACAGTCTGCAAAGTTATCCCATACACAAGGGATATTGTGCTGCAGTAACAGTTTTGTTTTGGCTTGGATAGCTTTTCAGCTGCAAGGTTTTAACCGTAATTTTCTTTTACATGGCAGCAAAAGCACCACCACCACCACCCCCCAATATATCCTGCTCTGTTTCTCGTGATCTTTTGAAAAGATTAATGGCTAGCTCCTTGCAAGTCTGTCTCAAGTTCAGCATATCAGATGTTCACCAACCTTTAATCTTTTCTTTCTCCTTTTTTTTTTGGTGAACTACCTACTTATTTCAGTAGGGAAAGGAGAAGTGAGAAGAGGTTGGTGGTTAACAGTTCATTATTAGAGAAAACAAACATGCAGATTGCACAAAGGAAATCAATTAACACTAGGAATTATATAGTCTGTGGTAAGACAGTTATTTTTCCTCAGCCTCAACATCAAAACGATAAAAAACCACAATTTACTGTC